CTAAGGATAAAATAACTGAACAGAGATTCCAGCTATTGCCCACAATCAGGGAGACAGAGTTTGGAGCTGAATTAATTGCCTGCTAAAACTAAACAACAATAACAACAAATCTAGGATTCAAAAGTTTCTAATTTCTAGACATACAAAGAAACAGGACAATGTAAGCCATCCTCAAAGAGAAAATGTAATTCACAGATATTGACCCAAAGATGTTCCAGGTGTTGCAATTAGCTAGCAAGGATTTTAAAGCTATTCTTGTAACTATCCTCAAGGGTATAAAGGAAAATATGCCGATAATGAATTATATAGGACTTCACAAAAATAGAAACTAAAATAGACTCAAATGGAAATTCTAGAGTTGAAAAATAAAATATTGGAAATAGAAAATTCAGTGTATTTGTTTAAGAAAAATTTGAAGATGCAGATGTGTCAGTGAACTTGAAGATAAATTGCTAGAAATTATCTGATTTGAATAAAAGGGGAACACAATTCAATAGATGAACAGAGTTCCAGTGACATGGGGGATATCGAAATGTAATTAGAGTCTCAGAGGGAGAGGAGAGAATGGGGCAGAAAAAATATTTGAATAACAGCTAAAATTTTTCCAAATTTGGTATAATATGTAAATGTATACTTTCTAGAAGCTCAGATAGTCCCCAAAATAATTAATTCAAAGAAAACCATGCCTGGGCATATAACAATCGAACTTCTAAAAATCAAATATAAAGAGAAAATTTTGGAAGCAGTCAGGGAAAAATAATGCATCACATACTGAGGAACAACAATACAATAACTGCTAACTTCTCATTAGAAACAGTGGAGGCCAGAAGACAATGGAATAATACCTTTAAATGCGGAAAGAGAGAAAGAGAGAGGAGAAAAACCTAAATTGTGTTGCTAGGGAAAATCCCTTCAAGAATGAAGACAAAATGAAGATATTTTCAGCTGAAAGAAGACTAAGAGAATTTGTTGATTACAGATTTGCACAACAAAGTATGCTAAAGGAAGTTTGTCAAGCTGAAGATAATAAATAATAAACTCAGAACTTCAAGAAGGAATGCAGAACATGGAAAATAATAAACATGTGGATAACTATAAAATATTATTTTGTAAAAATTCCTTTAACATACTGTAACTGTTTAAGGCAAAAATTAAAACATGATAATGTGGTGTTGGTAGCATATTTAAATGTATTTATAAAGCAATTAGAACAAAAACAAGGGTAGAGGGTGAAGAGAGCTATACAATTGCTAGATTCTTGAATAGTATGTGAATTGAATCTAGATTTTGTATTGCTTGGTTTAGGCCTTGGTATAAATAGAAAATTTTTCAAGGTTAATTTGTAAAAAAAAAAATAGTCTATAAATTTATATTTGTTTTAATGTAAGCTACATTCACTGCCACAGTGGACAAACCCTGATATTTCAGTGGCTTAACACAATCATTGTTTATTTCCTTTCCATATCACAGTTTAATAGAGTTCATTTTGGCTCTCCCACCTGAGTTCTCAGTAATTCAGTGATTTAGAAAGGTAGTCTGCTTCCATCTTGTATCTTAGTTATCTGAAGAAATGAAAGAGAGGAATGATGGAAAGTCATATCCACTCTTAGCTGCCTTGCACCAGAGGTTACGTATGACTTCTACTCACATTTATTTCCCAAGAATAAGTCACAAGCTCATACCTAAATTCTTGAGACCAAGGAAATGTATATCTGTGTCCAAGAAAATAAAAGTCTCTGATGAACACCTAGCATTTTTTTGCCACGATATCCAAATTAGTGGAGGGAAAATCAGTTAGAAAAAAACAAATTTAATCAATTAAAATATTCAAAAATGGAATAAAAATGAAGTAGGAAAAGGTAAACAAAAATAAAACAAATGTTTTGGAAACATTTAAATATGTAAGTAATTGTAATAAAAGAAATGTTAATCTCCCCAATTGAAAGACAATGGGAATTAGACTGGATCAAAAAGTGAATTCTAGACATCTGTTATTTATAAACCACTGATTTTTAATGTTTGAATGAAGGAAGTTGAAAAAAAAGAGGCAAAAAATGATGTACTAGTAAAATGCTAGTTAGAGCATTTGGTTATATCAGGCAAAATAGATATTAAGACATAAAGCATTACTGGTGAGATAAAGGGTCACTTCATAATGATAAATAATTCATGAGGGAGGATTACTTCTAATTATGAATGTAGCTAATAAAATGGCTTCAAACTATGTTGAGCAAAAATTGCTGGTATCACAGGGAGAAATTAACAGACCCACTATCATTCCCTGAGATTTGATGATACCACTTCCAATTATTGATAGAATAAGTATGCAGGAAACCCAGTAAAACCAGAGGGAATTTGAACAAAACAATGAATAATTTCAATCAGATACACACTTGCACATATGCAGAAGCCTGCAGATAACGGTTAGAAGATATTTTTTAAGCATAAATGGAATATTTACAAAACCATGTCTTAGGTTATAAATCTCAAACTCATAAAAAGTCACTATTATCAAGAAGAAATTCCCTGGCCATAATATAACTAAATTAGTAGGTAATTTTAAAATTGAGAAAAATCCTCACATTTTTAAAAATTAAAAGGGAAAACCACTTTTACATAACCAATGAATCTAAGAAATCTTAACAGAAATGTTTAAAGATGTATTGAAAATTGGATGACAGTGATAATACTACATATCATAACTTGTGAAATGCAACAAAAGGAATACATTCAGGAAGGTCAGGATAAAACCAAAAAATGTAGAAGGAAGGAATTAATGAAGATATGAACAGATATTACTTAAATGGAATATGAATATGCCAAAGATCAAAATGAAAATGTAGTCCAACTGAGAGATGAGAAATTCAACTCCTTCTCTGGAAAAGTTGATTATGTAAAAAAGTAGGTAGACACTAATAAATATTAGAGATGATAAAGGAATGGGACCAAGAGGAGACATAGGAGGCTTCTGAACTTTCCTCCTCCCACAGACACACCATATGTATAGCTATATGTGGAGCAATTCCCTCTGAGAGAAATCCAGAAACTATGTGAGTGACTCCTACCCACTGGGTGAATGAGAATATCAAAACAGGTAAAAAAAAAAAAAAAAAAAAAAAAAAAAAAAGGCTGAGACACATTGTCCTTATAAACGCCAATACTGGCACAGCTTCATGCAGTTGGGAGAGAATTTCCAACTCCTAGCTTCTCCATGAGGCGTGAAGAATTTAGACCACATATGTAGCACCCCAACTTTTAAGACTCCCGCTCAAAGGAGTGACTTACCAGGTTAGGAAAGAATTTCTTAAAGGAAACACCATCAATCACAAAGGAAAATGATGAAATCTTTGACCATCTTGCAATGAAAACCTGTGTGTGTTATCATAAGACATGGCAATCATGAAAAGGGAAGGCAAGACCGGGAGAAGACATTGCACCACATCTGACTGACAAATAATTTGCATCCAGATTATATAAAATTTTCCAACAAATGAATAAAGAGCAGACTACCCAGGAGGACAATGAGTACATATATAAAAGGAAACATGAATAACCAGTAAACACATAAAAGATGCCCAACCTCAAAAATTATTAGGCAAATTCAATGTAAAACCAAAGGGAAAAATTGTATGTATGTCAGGATGTTAACATTTTTCAAAGTCTGAGAAACAGGAACTCTCATTCATTGCAGTTATGAGTGTAAAATTATGCAATTGTTTTAAAGAACAATTTGACAATATCTGAGAAAGTTGACTATCTTTATCTTTAGTCTTAAACTACAAATATATTATAAAGATATGTGTACATGGGTGATAGTTGTTACAGTTTCTAATAGGAAAAATACAGGGCACCTTAAATACTCAGCACTAGAAGAAGTATCCATTTTGTTGTGGAATATGCATACAATGGGATATAATGTGGAGGTTAAACAACTAAATAAATAGCTATATGGAAAACAATAATAACAAGAGCAAGAGGAAACTTTCAGAGGTGATGGACGTATTTATGGCAATAGACTATGGACATGGTTTCATGGATATATACTTGTTTCCAAACACATCAGTTGCATACATTAAATAGGTGCAGCTTTTTTTTGGTATGTCAACCATACCATAATAAAGTGGTTTAAAACTAGCAAACAAACACAAAAAATTTCCAGAAGCATATGCTGTATGTACATGAAATTAGAAGAATTGCACAACATAAACTTATATATTGTTTAGTGATGTATAAATATATTGATATGTTTTAAAAATTAAAGACATACACATGATGATAAACACAAAATTCTCAGGTGCATGTGGAAGATGAAAAAGCAAGCAGGGAGGAATACACACTGGCTTCCATTGTTTTGTAATCTTTAATTATTCTCAATGGAGTACCTACACTCTACAGAGGGTCCTCTTAGTTTCTCCCGTCTGAACTCCATACCTCAAGTAGATATATGAACTATATCACAATAAGTAAAAAATATGTTTCAAAAGAGTTGGATGTCATTTGAGGCCAAGTCTGATGAATAAAGTCGCCAAAACTTTTTGCATATAAATGATTAAAAATGAGGCAGGTTCCTCTCTTGCGTGTGCATGTTTCTTGTTAAACTGACCCTGAAGCATTTCCTCAAAAATAGTTTTTGTAGTATTTTGATGTATGGCTACATCATTATTTCTGTGTGTAACTTCCCAAAGTGACTTTTTTGAAGGGGACAAGGCTCATCTGGATGGATAATGTGTCCAAGTTCCAGTATGTATGTTAAAAAGCTCAGCTTCCTTTCTTTATTTCAACACCTTATATTGGAGATACTTATTACATTGGCGAAACTAGACAGATGTGAGCAATGCCTCCATGCCAAATAATAACTCATCATCAAGTGATTCAGAGTCTTTCTTTTTTTTTTTTTCTGTTTTGAAATATTGAGATACAGGGCTTTCTTTGAAGAGACTTTCTACTCCATGTATATTTGACTAAAAGCCTCACATGAGAACTATTTCATTTATCACTAGGCACTCGATGAACCAGCCAAGACTGAAAGTGTCTTCAAGGACAACACGTTAGACCCACCTCTGGAGGTAATGACTTCAGATTACCCATGCTTTTGAAACAAAATCCCGAAACTCATTGCTAACTCAGTACCTGGTTTCAATTCTTCCAGTTTTGTTTTCCTGCACAGCTCAGGCAGCAAACTGAAGAGCTCTGTGCTACCATTGATAAGGTCTTACAGGATTCCTTGTCTATGGTAATGCCCTAGACTAGACTGTGCAATTCAAACATTTGCTTCGCTTCTCTTCATTTTCCTCTGTTTGAGTATGATGCATCTTAGGTTTGTCCTTCTTTTTCCTTTTTATTTTCCAGCATTCTTCTGATTCTCCTTCAAGTTCCTCACAGACATTGTTGGGTTCTGACACAATGAAAGTATGTATATATTTAATAAAATTTGCTGAACCATAAGAGTGACTAGATCAATGGTTTTAAACTGCAGGTTAAGGCCCCGTAGTGAATTGGGAAGTCAATTTAGTTGAATAGCAACCAGCATCTTAAAAACACAAGAGTAGGAATGTAAAATATCAGACTCTATTACAAGTAGTGAGTAGCAGTGTTGATATATGTTTCAATTTGTTTACATGTATGTATGTAAGTATGTATGTATAGGGTTACAAAGTAAAATTTATTACTAACTGTGTGTTAAGTTCAAAACAGTTTGAAAGCCAAACTATCAGACTTTGTCCTTATACGTTGGCATTTTAAGAACCGCATATAGAATTTGTGGCTTATCCTTATCTCATACCATAGCTTCAGTACTTATGTAATTCACAGTCACTTAGAATTGCAGAAGTGGGAAAGGAAGTAGACTGAAGTTACGTTAGGCTAAGAGCTTTCATACAGGTATTATTTCTGGAACTTTTTTCCTTTTGGTAGACTAAGCTTATTTTGTTGTTCTTTGACTCAAAGGAACAGAAACCTGGGTATTTTAGATTGTTAGGATACTTCTAAGTCATTAATTCTTGTAATTGAGTATTAACTTATTTCCTTCTAATGTAGTCATTTTCATTTGTTGGAATAAAATACATTTCTCCAAAGTATTTTTTAAATATTTAATACAGATCTACTCACTAAATTTTCAAAATGGTTGTGGCTTTTTCTTTATAATTGTTAGGGTTTTTTGGTTAGCTGTATTTTCACTCTTGGAGTGAGTATAAATACTTTTTTCAGGTTCCCTTTAAAAGTTGTACATTGTGTATACAAAGCAGGTTTCAAGTGTACAGAATTGCTTATAACTAGAAGAGTATCTAAATTTTTGATTGGATTGTCAAAACTACAATTATCCATTAATAATGACATAGGAACTCAGTAACCAATAATCATCAATATTAAGAAATTATATTTTAGCAGAGAGGACCTACAAATAGATAATTGTAGTTATATTTATTTCATTATATAGTCTTTAAATCTTTTAATCTAAAAATATGAAATATTGTTTGATTTCCCTGAGGCTATATAAATCTTAAAATATATTTTTATTCTATTTGTTGAATGTATAAAAAGTACTTTATATTTTATAATAGGAATAGGACTTAAGTAGTAATATGTGAATAATAACATATATTATTGATTTATTTAACAAATATTTAATGCTTATAGTATTAAAAATACATTGTTCTAGGTCACTAAATTTAAGACAACTGTTTTATTCAACAAGTATTTATTAAGTGCCCTTACCTCCTCTCCTCTGGCCACAATCAGTTTGTTCTCTGTATTTATGAGTTTTTTCTGCTTTTGTTTATTTGTTTGCTCATTTGTTTTGTTTTTTAGACTCCACATATATGTGAAATCATATGGTATTTGTCTGTCTGACTTATTTCACTTAGCGTAATATTCTCAAGGTCTTCCCATGTTGTTGGCAAGTGACATAGTAAGACTTGAAAATCAACAGTACTCATTGATCCATGAGCTGCAGAATGAATGTTGTAATAGCAGTCGTGACAACAACATTCATCTTGCTGTGCATCTCCATCAGGGCTCTTGGGTGACCAGTTTTGTCAGTGAACAGTGATATTTTGAAAGGAATCGTTCTTTCTGAGCAGTAGGTCTCAACAGTGGGCTTCAGATAGGCAGTCAACCATATTATAAACAGACATGCTGTCATCTAGGCTTTGTTCCATTTATAGAGCATAGGCAAAGTAGATTTAGCATAATTCTCAAGGATTATTCCTAGGATTTTCAGAATCATCAATGAGCACTGGCTTCAACTTAGAATCACTAGCTGCATTAGCCCCTAACATCTGAGTTAGCCTGTCCTTGGAAGCTTTGAAGCCAGACATTGACTTTTCCTCTCTAGCTATGAAAGTCCTAGATGGCACCTTCTTCTAATGTAAGGCTATTTCGTCTACATTTAAAATCTTCTGTTTAGTGTAGCACCTTCATTAATTAGCTAGCTCTTCTGAATAATTTGCTGCAGCATCTACATCAGCACTTGCTGCTTCACCTTGTACTTTGATGTTGTGGACTTGGCTTCTTTCCTTAAGCCTCATGAACCCACCTCTGCTGGCTTCAAGCTTTTCTTCTGCAGCTTCCTTACCTCGCTTGGCCTTCAGAGAATTGAAGAGAGTTAGGGTCTTGCTCTGGATTAGGCATTGGCTTAAGGGAATGTTAGTGGCTATTTGGTCTTTTATCCAGATCACAAAATCTTTCTCCATATCAGCAATAAGGCAGTTTCTCTTTCTTTCTCTTTCACTCATATGTTCACTGGAGTAGCACTTTTAATTTCCTGCAACAACTTCTCCTGTGCATTCACAACTTGGCTGTTTGGCATGAGAGGCCTAGCTCTGGCTCTGTCCTGGCTTTCAACATGCTTCCTCACTAAGTTGAATCATTTCTAGCTTTTGATTTAAAGTGAGAGATGTGCAACTCTTCCTTTTACACGAACACTTAATGTTCTTAACTGACCTAATTTCAATTTTGTTATATCTCAGGGAATAGGGAGACCCAAGGTGAGGGAGAGAAACTGAGGAATAGCTGTTGGGACAGTCAGAACACAGACAACATTTATAGATAAAGTTTGCCATCTTATATGGGCATGGTGCGTGGCACTCCAAAACAATTACAATTGTAACATCAAAGATTACTGATCACAGATCATCATAACAAATATAATAATAATGAAAAAGTTTGAAATATTGTAAGAATTACCAATATATGACGCAGAGGCACAAAGTAGCAAATGTTGGAAAATGCGCTGATAAACTTGCTTGTCACAGGGTTGCCACAAACCTTCAATTTGTGAAAAACACATTATCCACAAAGCACATAAAGTGAAGCACAATAAAACGAGGTACACTTATATTTGTCATGGTGTAAAGTTTGGATTCCATGGGAAATGGGAAGATACAAAAATATGGGGGGAATAATATGAAACCATTGAAAATGATCATGATGGCTCCTGTGGGGGGCTCTTGAGGTCAGAGGAGCAGTCAGTGATGATGCCTAGATGGGGTGGGCTCAGGGGAGCCAGAGGGAAGCATGTGGGTTTGTGAGAGATATTTTAGGCTTGCTGTGGGGTTGGATGTGAGTAGTGAAGGAGAGAAGAATCATGGTTGAACTCCAGGTTTCTGCCTTGAGCATAGACAACCATGCAGAAGGCAGAGTGTGGAGGAGGGACGAGGGTTATGTTCATTTTGGACAGGATGAGTTTGAAGTGTGTATCAGGGGGCCTTAAACTAGTGTGTCTGGAGCTAGTAGGAGAGATCTGGGGATGATGCACACATCAATGTTGTGAGTGCCCTACAGAGAGCTCCGAGGAACAAAACATTGCAGGTCCAATAAAGAGGGTGGAGGAGAAGCCAGCAGAGGAGATGAAATGTCCATTATTATAAGAGGAAAATCCGAACTATGTGGTAACATGGAAGCTACAAGAGGAGAGTATTTAAGAGAATATAATCGTGGTAATTGCTGCGGAGAGCAAGACAAAGATAAAGCTAGAGTACTGTTTATTAGGTTTGATTTATATATTTTGAACCTGTGTTGCTATTGCTTATGTGTGGTGTTCATTCTCATCTTTTTTATTTTTATAACCTTTTCTAGCATATGTAATCCTTTTTAGCTTGAGGTTGTTCTTCTTAATCTAGTATGAAAACAGTGACCCCATGTAAGTAATATATATATATGTAATTTTCAATTCATGTTTTCTTAGATATATCTTTTGTTACTATTTTCTATTACTTTTTTTACGAATTTCTATTACTTAATTTTTGTGTTTTTTTTTTTTAATTTTTTTGTGCCCTCTGGTCTAATTATTTTCAGGACAAAATATTTCTGGATATCACTTTTATATTCAATCCAGAGAATCTGTTTATCTGGAATTCTGTCTTTTTTTTTTTTTTTTTAACTTTCCTGCTTTCCTTCTAGTATTTTGACATTTACCGATCTGAAAATTTTAAAAATTTTGACTATTTTACTTTACATTTTTGTTCCTTTTCTTAGTTACACATAAATTCTTAAAGATAATAATTATGTTTATTTTCCTATCAATTTTAAACCTTGAAATATCTTTGTTATATTTTTCTTGATATCTTCTTTATTTAGATCCTGATTTCTCACACATTGATAGCTTTCTCCTGGATTAATTTTTTTTCTTGGTGGAATCTTGCTGAAAATTATATACAACAAGGTGGTTTTGTGTTGATTCTGTGGCCTGTGTTTTTGAGACTATCTTTATTTTGCTCTTTCATTTAAATTAAGTTTTGTTGAACAGAAAATTATAGGTCCTATCTCTTCACACTTTTTCACCCTAGGTTCTTTTTCTTCAACAACATACTTGTGAAGTATTTTGCCTGCATGATATTTACTCCTCTGCTACAGAGTGATCATTTACAGTATGGCTCTGTAATCTTTTAGAATTTTTTTTTTTTTTTGGCTGTCCAACTCTTACTTCTTTATTAAGTTTTTTATTTTAATTCTGGTATAGTTAAATATATTAGTGTTATATTAATTTTAGGTGTACAATATAGTTCTATATAACACCCAGTGCGCATCGCAATAAGTGCACTCCTTAATCCCCACCACCTATTTAACCCATCCCCACACCCACCTCCCCTCTGGTAACCATCAGTGTGTTTTCTAGAATTAAGAGTCTGTTTCTCCTGTAATACTGTGTTGTGATGAGCACTGGGTTTTTTACACAACTAATGAATCATTGAACACTACATCAAAAACTAATGGTGTACTATATGTTGGCTAACTGACCATAATAAAAAAAATTTAAAAAGAGTCTGTTTCTTGGTTTGTAGAATTTCATCTTTATCTATAATATGACTGATTTTTCTTATAATGTAAATGTGCATTTTTTTTCTCTTACATGTCTGGATTGGTACTCTCTGTGACCTCCCCTTTGAAGTTTTCAATCTTTTCTGTTCCTC